TTCACAGTTCCCTCAAGATCTTGGGCAGCAAATAATAAGATTTCATCGTCAGAAAATCATTTTGATCCATCTTGGATGTAAATTTACCATGTGTCCTTTCCTGTTAGCATAAAACCACTAAGTATGTTTATTTCTTGTATACTATCTATCTATCACTCGTTAGCTAATTAGTTGATGTTTTGATAACGTAGGACATGACTTGAAATATACACAGTATATGTTGGCTTTATCTTATTTTTTATATATTTTGGGGGTTTTTATGCCTTTATTTGATAGGACAGCTGAAGGTAGGAAAGAGGGGAGAGAGAGGGGGGCCACAGGTTGGAGTCAAACCCGAGCTGCTGCAGTAAGGACTCAGCCTACATGGGGAATGCAATCTACCAGGTGAGCTAGTAGTAGTGAATTAGTGCTCATATGTGCTCCTTTTTGACTGCAAGACAAAAAAAATCTGCATATAGTGGTGGAAATAATCCTTTTGTGTGGAACATCGAGTTTTTGTAGAATTAAATCATTCGCGTTTTACCTTCCCGAGGTTTGACTGGCCAATCTTCTTCTGCAGCATAGCGCCGAGTCGCTCCACCTCAGTGGCCACACAGGAAGGTCGATGGATGTGAGCGCGAGACGAATGGTAGAAGTTCCACTTCTCCTCTGTCAACTGAGAAAAAAAAAAAGACAGTTAAGAAGGAGAAAGAATGAAAGGGGAGACTGTTACCATTTGTTCTTAATAATAATCAGAAAACAAATCATAGGATGAAGCTAAAGTCAAGTGCTTGTTGACAAATCACACTCTCAGGGATGTACCCATCCAGAACAGTCTGCTTTAGTTATTTATATGACTGAGCTCAGAGCTGGAGGAGTACATCCCTGCTGGCCTGTCACTCAGTGAATGCAAATCATGTAAAGCACGGGAGCAGGAGCACACACACACAGTCATCATGAATCATGAGCAAAATGATGGAGTTGGAGAAGCAGAGGTAGATGGTGTTTCTTTTCCAAATGTCAAGCTATCATTTTATAATATTTGCATTTTGAGGACTGTTTTTATTTTTATTCAAATAAAGCAGAGTGGAAACAGCAGCAGCTTGTGTAATCAGATGCTCAGATCCTAACCTCAGACTCATGCTTGATAAAGCTCGATAGCAATAAGGCTGCACAACGCTGCACGGACAAACGGCTGGCAAACGAGCCTCCATGCAAATAATCACCGATTCGTTGTCAGGAGTGTTTGAATATAAGTTGGCAGAGACTCTTGGAGGAGCTACCATCTTCCTCTAGTGAGGGAACACAAAGAGCAGGAGGAGCTGAATTAGAGGAAAAGTGAGGGAAGGCTTTCATTGTTAGGCAAAAAAAAGGGGAAAAGATAAAGTGAAGACAAGGAAAATTAGAGGAGGGTTATATGATTGCGGTCATGATGATTATGATCGAGGTGAGGATGATGTTTACACACTGTTGCCTCTATGTTTGTTTACCCGTCTGACACTGTCCTCATCCGACTCAGAATACTGTCTTTTGTAGCGATGATGGGCCTATGTGATGATACAACATGCATTATAAAACCTACAGTCAGAAGATGTAACAGTCAAACGCAATGAGGAGAAGAGGAAATGTTAACAGAGTAACAGCTACTGAGAGTCAACTACATACAGTAACAAGAGAAGTGGGTTTGATAATTGTTTAAAAGGGATGCGTTTATGTTTGTAGTATGCTAAACTAAAAGATATAAAACCTCAGCTCAAATCTAATGCGGACACTAGAAATGCACACACACAAATACATTTCTTGTCATTGTTTAACTATATTCTACATCTGTACCTTTTTGACAGACTGACAAAATCCTGGACATCGTCTGGCCGAAATTAAATCAAACCAAAGTCAAATGGAAATCTTTACCCCGTCCACGTGGTCATTTTGGTCACCTTCGCTCCGCCGCTCGCTGGGGTAGCCGCTGTCCCCGCCACTATCAGAGTCCTACAGACAGAAATCAAAACAATCGGTGAGGTGACTCGTGATTTGTGTGCGAGATGGTTGATGACTCAGTCTTCTTTCAGTCGTCCAATCAGATTTCCTCCAGCTGAGGATCATCCCCAAAATCATTTATACTACTAATGTCATTCATGCTTTTATATCGTCTTTTAGTATTATGTCAGTTTTATGTTTATTATATAAACTATTTTAAAACATGATGACATTAAAATGTTTTCACATTCTATGTAGACAGTAGAATAAGTCACTATAAACCTATATAAAAAGGCCCAGTCATGCAAAAAATACAGTGAAACTACAAGAATATTAAAAAATGCCAATACAAAGTGTTGGTCAAACCTACATGTATACATGTTATAATTATATAATTGATTTTTCCATGCAAATCATTTTTAACTCTGTTTTGAAACTTTATTCACCATTGATATGAGTTTTATTTGATAATGTGATCAGTCGACAATATGACCCACATACAAATTACCAAAAATGTCTTTAAGTGACAAATGAAAATGGCCAACACATATTTTCAGCTTCTCTTCATTTGATTATAGATCATCTGCATAGAAAATATATATAAATATAAATAAAAAAGGCCAAAATAAACTTTCACCTTGACATTAGAGACTTGAATTAAATTAAAACATGGGAGAATATTTGGCTAAAAGTGACACAGCAAAATTTTCTGTGCTTTTTGGAGTTATTTCTTACCTTGTGTTCGCCTGTGTTGTTATTGTTATTGTGTTCATTCATCCCAGTAAAAGATAATCCTGTGAAATGTAGAAATAATATTTACAATGTGGACAACACGATTAACTACATAAATCATACTGTAAAGCATGTGCAGTATGTAAATGACGCGTTCATGGGCGTACCAACGGGGGACTTGCCCGGAAATCCAGGTGCAGGTAGCGGGGAGCAGGGGAAGATGAGAGGCGAGCATGGAACCGAGTCCACGTCGCTCATGCTCTCGTCTGCAGATGACGTCTCAGACAGGCGGGATAACAGCAGAGGCGCCCGGCTTCCCGACATGGTCCGAACGCGAGGAGAACCGCAGGGCTCCTCGCAGCCCCTCAGCACCGTCTGAGCCGACTTCTGAAATAAAAACAAGAAGAATATTTGAGGAAACAGCAACAGTAGAGGGCAGAGCAAGCAGAATACACTGAAGAGTAAGTATGTACAGGGGAGCAGGAAAGGTAGCAGAAGAGTGTTTTTTTCTATCAGTAAGATTCATTTACGTCAAAATCAGAATGTGGCACTTTTCACGCTTCCATGAAGAATTTTTGAAGTCACATTTATACATAAAATATGCCAACTGTGAACCAGGGGACATGCAATAAATCTTACTTGTAATTCTTTTTTATTCATTGTTATTTTAATTTCATGAACGTTCGCAACAATATTTTCTCCCTGACCTGCAGCTGATTTTACACTATATTTCTTATCATTAAAGTGTTAAAATTACAAGCAGTTTGTTGGTGCAGTCCAGCTGTGACTTCTCTGCGGGGGAAAGGTCAAAAGGCGTCAGGCCCATACTCTTGCAGATCTTGTTACACAGGTGGGAGTGGAAGAACAGCGCCATTCCTCGAACGCCTGGAACACAGGTGTGATCAAGGTTTCTTGAATCATTTCTAACTTTTCAAATTTCACACAAGTATCCAGCAGCAATTTATGTTTATATAAAAGAGAGCTGTACCTAGATTTCCATCCCCAAAGTCAGTCCCCTTCTCTGTGTGGATCTGAGGGTCAGTGTAGAGATCTCCGACTCCTTGGATGTCCACTACGATTAGCTGGTGGCCCGATCGCTCAAAAGTGAAGTGACTGAAGGCCTGATGGGTACAAAAGGTGAACGTTATTAAGTGATTATTAGATCGACATGTATTGATACCAAAAGGCAAAGTCACTCACCTGCGGGGTGAGTCGGATGTTGTCGTCCCTCACGAAGCCGGAGTTGGAGTTGTATTTGATGTACTTGCCCTCGATGTAATGTTCCAGGTGGAAGAGAGGTTTACCTGGTCTGTCCTTCATCTCCACCACGCACATCTGCATGATATCCACCTGAGGATGAGAAACAGATAACTCACTCACATGTGTCCAGTACAGACCTTTGATAGTGATCAAATTATAGCTTTTAATGCTGAAATAAAGACCACCGATTCTTAATAATGAAATATATTACATTGTCTCACAAAAAGATTGTGTTGTCATATATACATATATATAAAATAAACTGAATATCTCTGTGTTTGTGGCTTTTGATTGGACAAAACAAAACATTTTAGGAACACTGGGCTCTGCAAAGCTGTGATTTTTGACATTAAATAGACCAAATTGCTTAATTAAAAATCATGATTGTCAAATGAATCGATAATGACAAGAATTGTTACTATATAGTGACAAAATCAGCGATAATCCCACAAAAGCAATAACTATTGAGCACAACAGTGGGCTGTAAATGTCTCTCCAGTACCTGTTTGGGAGGTCGGTGGCGGCTGTACTCCTCTCCCCAGAGTTTGGCCTCCATTTGCAGCCTGACGTCCTCAAAGTAAACATTTCTGTCCACCGTCTCCATGTAACGTTTGGCCACATAATTAGATGCTGACTTCCAGTTGCTGCTATGTGAGAAATTCGACAACTTCTTCCTGGAGGGGAAATAAATAAGAGCAGAGGATATTGCAGCAGAATTTAAATTATATTTAGATTTAATTTAAAATAAAACATTATTAGTTTTTGATCATAACATCAACTGGAACTGATGTCCCAGAACATGTGTACAACAGGGACATACCACATTTCAGATGTTGAGACTTTCTTTTTTTAGCTTTTCTATCTTGTTTGGGCTTGCAGGGTCTGGGAGGGGTTATTTTCTTGCTCTGGGTTTTGTCAGAGGCATCCATTTACCCCCACCCCCCACAGAAAAATTCCACTCTCTTTTACATTTCCCACATAACAGAGGATTATACATTAACAATTAGACTATTGTCTCTTTTCTTGTTAATTCCACAATGCCTGCAGAGGCCACAGAGTGGAGCATTGTTAACACCACGTGCTTAAAATCTATTTTACCCAGAATAGTAAAGATCCAGGGAATCAATAAAGTTAATGATAAAGCCCCAGTGCCCTCATGGAAGACTTTATAGAGCTGCGTCAGCGAGATTTTCTCAGCACCATCTTTGGATCTAAAACTACTGAGCAGCTGTCCTCCAGAGCCACAGCAAGAAATGTGAGGAATGTGGACCTGCATCACTTAAGGGCTACAATCTAAGACTGAGATACCACTCTGATTTGTTTACACCAAGACCACGGAGGCCTCGATTACTGGAGTACGAAGGCAATAACCGCTGGATGAGAAATGATGAATGAAGAGAAATAGTTCGACTTACGTTCTGAAGCACTCTCTCATGGCCCCTTTCCCAAACGGCTGTGAGAAAGCAGGCAGAGGAAACAGATTAGACAAGAAATAAGAAACTGGAAGACACTCCAGTATGTGTTTTTTATGATATTGGCCAAACAGTCCTCTTCTAGAGAGAAGTGATACCTGGGAAGCCATCTTGATGTGGACCTGGTCTTGATTCCACTCTCCTGTGACAGCATTGTACCTGCGGAGAATTAAAAATTGATTATGTTCACTCAATTATGTTGGATGCTCATTAAATCAAAGTCAGTGTTTTTTAAGCCACAATAGCTGCTTGACTCTAGGGATGGCAATGTCAGTTGGTTGATGCACAGTTTTAGATGATATATCTCAACAACTATTCAATGTATTGGTCTGTAATTGTATGCAGACATTCATGGTCCCCAGAGGATGGATCCTACTGACGTTGGTGACAATACAGGAGAGCAAACAGTCACAAACGGTCATATAATTTTAACACCTAACTCCAGTTTTTTTCCTACTTTCTTACATGTTAAAAGGTTATCCTACCTTTTAACATGTGTTTATGATTATTGTCAGTTTGTATATAACTCACATTTCACACATGTCACAACAACATTTCTGTTAAGATTGTTTCAGCTTCTTTAATGTGAGATTTTGTTGCTTTTATTTGATTTATATTAGTGTAATCTTTTCTGTTTTGGACCATTGGCAGCACAAAACGAGTCGTCTGAAGACATCAGCTTGGTCTCGAATTGAAAAAACATAAATCACTAATCAAGCCAGCCTTTAGTTTTTTTGCAGTAGAGCGGCTGTGTGAGACCTGTCACCCTGCTCTGCATGAAAAAAGGGCACTTGTTTTTGTTTTCCACCTGCAACGTTACAAATCACTCACACTGGACGGCCTACAACACTGAGCCGGCTCACAGGACTCTTTTGTTCTCTTATGAGTCTGCTACTAAAAGGTCCCGATCACGTTGGCCAAGTTACTCTTTGCCCTCTGTGAGGGAGCTCGTCTATCAGCGGACCTTTATAAAGTCTTATCAAGGAGGCACATGAAGCATCCAGTTTCCTCTGTGCGGAAAAACAACAAGTAGAAAAAGGAGACAGAAAGGTTGTGTGACCTCTTTCAAAAGAAAGGCCGTTTTGTCTGCACCCATTTCTTTTTGGACTTGAGGTTATTTGGATTTGGAGGATGCATGTATTCAGAGAAGGACTCGTGCAGTCAATATGGTGATGAAAGTGTACACACTGTATGTCTGGGTCAGTGTGTCTGTTTGTCTTGGCATGCTGTGTGTCCTGAGTTAATGAATACTGCATGAACTGTAGGTGCAGCTGCAACTCTTCACAGCTGAAACCTGAGCGCCTTTGCACTAGAAACTCAGTATGAAGCTTTCCTTTTCCACTCGAAGAACAGCGCTCCATTCTCCGTCCAAAAAACTAAACCTCGCTCAGTTCTGCCAACAAGCCCGGGAACACAGTGTACCGTGACATTCATTCCTCCGAGTTCATACTACAGGGGGGCTTAAGAGAGGGAAGGAGGAGTGAAGTTACACGTGGGTAAATTTAGCACATGAAAAAGAGAACACGAGGGCAAATCCCAGCTCCTGACAATCCTATCTCTCTGTGTAGTCTGTTATGTTACAGACCTAACAAAAACACAATTCATTTCGCCCCCTGCTTTTTTGCCCACACCCATTCAATTGTTGCTGCCCACGCCAGATGACTCTGCACAGGGTGGGTACGTTTATATCGGCTGTTATGTTGACCAAAACATCTGGGTGAACACTCAAGCGTCCCAGCTACAGCGCGAGATAAAGAAGAACTGGCAATGTGTCCAGTGAAGTGGCAGCAATGTTTGTCAACAGTTAAGATTAGCACCACTGACCGAGATATGAGCCAACCGCTGCCCCTTCAATTACAGTTAAAGACCAATGCTGGCTAATACCAATGTGTCAGCGTCAACTAATACTAAACTGTGTCAGTTAATAGGCCATATTACACAAGCTGCCGTCTTATTTACGTTCTGAATCAGTAGTAAACTTCGATCAAGGGAACTAATTGCACCCTCATCTGGGTGTGAGCTACAGTCACCTTAAACTTTAGATTATTCTTTAAGCATGGAAGATGACAAAAACAGGATTAAAAAAGTTTCTGTGGCATTGCTCTCATCAGTGTTGTTTCTGGCTACAGCTGGCAGCTATTTTCAGTGAAACAAACCTTTGATAAACACATCGAATGCTCCCTGTTCAGAACCAAACAGCAGGCGGACAACGTCAGTGACTAACTGGTGAACATAGTGGAGCATTTAGCAGGTAAAGAGCCAGATACTGCAACAGTTTGCTAACAAGTTTGCAAAATCAACTTCATAACGATGATAAAGATGCATTGTGTTTACAGCAAAACATCAATTAATGCAGCTTTAATTCAAATTTAAAGTCCTCAAGGTGTGAATGTTATAACATGGGAAATACCACTTCTGAAAATACGCTCTTCGTTCTATGACAAGTCAAAATGTCTGCCATGACAAAGGTCTATTAAAGCTGTAAATTTCATACCTGTAACGAATGCAGGCTTCAGTCTGGATTTCCTCCAGATGAAACTGGGCCCAGGGGTCGGGCATGGCCTTGGCCTTTTCAATCGCATTCTTCCAGGCGTCCTGTCACAGTGAGCAAACACGACTTATTAGCTGGCAGAATTTGTTTATATGCAAAAAGTATGGAAGAGTCAATTTCCCAAACAGGTTTGCTTGAACACTTAGAGGAAGGAGGGGAAGCTTTAAATGCAGAAAATCTGAAATTTAATTAGTAAAATAAAGGCATTTTCAAGCTTTTGTGCTTTTTTTTCTGCACAACACAATCACTTTCTCTCTCTAAGTACCCGTATTGTGCTCACGAATTAAGCAAATTAAATTTCACAGTTTGTGCATTGAGTCGCTTCCCCCACATTCTTCAAAGTATTTGCATTTAATCAGCTAAGAGGTGGAGAAACCTACAATGCTGATCTATATAAACAGGGACACACCAATGTAAACACAGCCTGCTCTAAGGATGACCCCTTGTTTAGTTTGCAACTGTTGTAACAGCATGCAAATCAGGAAGTAAGGAAGGTTAAGAAAGGGAAGGAAGGAAGGAAACATAAATAAATTAATAAATAAATAAATAATGCAACCTCAAAATTAATGTGATCACCATGTGATGTTTCATGACCATCTGCAGTTGTGCCCTTTTCAAAAAATAACTTGCTTAGTAGGGACCATGAATCAAGTGTCAAACCTGCTCCAGTAACCCAAACCCCGACCCATCCAGTACTGCACGTCTCCCTCGTATACCACGACAGCAGACATTTTAGACATGTTTATATTTAGCGACCAAGAATTTAAATGAAGAGTTGTGTTTTCGAATGATACGAGTGTCGCGTCTGTTTGCGAGGAGGAGCAGGCGACACGTGTTACGTCAGATCTCGTTCACCTGCAGTGAGTGTGAAACGTCTCCATGCGGTCATAAGACTTTAAGGATCAAGTGGCGAAGCCTGGTAAAGCACTGAAATGCCCAGCCGTGCTCAAATTACATTTTAATTCCAAACTTACATAATAATTCCAGTTTATTTCTGGGATTTATATCATTTTCTAAAACTAAATTTAGAGCAGCATAATGGAAAACAAGAATTGAAGAACTGCTCGAGAAAAATATGATTTGTTTTTTAGTGTATAAATATTTCCAATGTTTGTTAAAGTGCATGCATCAAACAAAGTACAATCTGATGGGAAGGGAAGAACATCAGTCATGAAGAGAGTCATGGGAAATGAGACAAGGTGAAAGATATGTGGCTACGAGAGTTAAATAAAGCAGTCCAAAACAGGGAAGGAAAAAGGACTGTAAATTACAGAGTTAGGGGGGAGAAGGGAGGCGTAGATGGTCACTGGTGAAGAGGGAGAGAAGAAAGATATAATCTGATCTGTGACGTACCCGTGCGCTCTCAGACAAAACCTTGTACGACCGAGGTTCTGCCTCTGTTTCTGTTTCACTCTATGTAGAAAGGTGAAGAAAAATGGACGACTTTTCATCAACAAACAGAATATATACATAGCTGACATTCACATAGCACCCTGAAATACGTTAAATAACATGAATACATAAAACTCATCCAAGCAGCTGGCTGGTGCTCAGCAGGTCTGATAACTCTGCTCTGAATCGAGGCCTTTATGTAGCTGTGAGAGCAGCGAGAGACGTTGTTTACATGCACCGCGATCACATGAGGTGAAAACCACTCTGGTACTTCCTGTTCTTTAGAGATAGTACAGTAAGGAGGTGACTGGCCGGCTTTCCACTTCAACAAACAAATACACACATTCACACTAAACAGCACACACCCACACACACTGGTACGTGTGTGCAGGCATGCACAGATCATCTCTCCTTATAAGGCAAAGAGCTATTCTCACAGCTAATTGCAGAACTGTTCATGATGATACACGAGCAGGACTTGATTTCAACAGTAGCTGATACTTTACTGTCAATCATATCTGGTGAGATCATGCACCTTGCATCGCGTTGCCGGGGGCGACGGCTCACCTTGAACATAAAGTTGGTCTTGGGAAGAGAGTTCGACAGCTGCCGGGTGTAAACCAGATTCTTCAGGTAGTGGCAGACTTCTTTGGCAGAGTCGTCCAGGATGGGGCAGATGAAGTGGTTGTCGTCGTCGTCGTCACTGGCGTTGGCATCACTGAGGGAAGACGCCCGCTGACTGGGGGCACTGCGTTGGACAGGGGCTCTCTTGGCGCTGCCCTCCACCTCCTCCATGCTGAACATCAGCTCATCCTCCATGATGTCTGCTGCTGTGTGTGTGTGTGTGTGTGTGTGTGTGTTATCAAGAGAGGAGACATGGGTGTGAGAGAGCCACATAAAAACAAAACAGTTTGGAGATAATCTGTGGCATGCAGTCATGTTAGTACGTGTTCAAAACAACCCTACATCATGGCTGCACAGCTGTGCATCAAATATGAGAGAGTTATCTGTGTTTCCTTAGAAGTGGCTGCACTGTGATTGATCTCCAGCATATACTAACAATTAAAGTCACAATAAACACTTATATAATGTGGATTTAAGCAATAAAGGATGAGTGTCAGCATGCAAAAGCAATTTAGCCCATTACTGAAGTTATTCCGCTGCTGGAAGCACTAATCAGTTTCACTGTAATCAATCCAAAGCAATTGTGTTTGCAGACTTTTAAAGTGACAGCTGGTTGGTGGAGAGGAATGCAAGCACAATACATTAAGTTCCTGCTCCTGCTGGGACAATGTGCTCCCATAGAAATCAACAATAGACATATTACTTTACTAAAAAGTATTACTTTAAGTTTGGACTAATGCCATCTGCTGTTAAATGCACCTATTAAATAAACAACAAACCTTAAAACCGGAGGCACAGACACACCTTTAATCACTTTAGCTCGACAGGCTGTAACAGTGTAGGCTCGGTCTTCTTCCGTCTCTCGGTTTTAGTTGGAAGTTATAGGGACGAGGATTGCAGCAGCAGCAGCAGCAGCAGCCGCGGGTTAACTCTCCTCCCAGACCAGAGTGGGTCGGTCCTGGCTCTCCAATGTACCCTGAAGGTCCGGGGACGTGCCTGGCAGCGGGATGTTGTTCTTGTTACCGTCCACCACGGAGACGTGAGTCCTCCGCACGTACCGCACTTTTCCTCTGACAGCCACGCCCCTGCCTCCCGCTGCCTTCACGGCTGTCGGAAATATAACAGACGAACATGAGAAGAGAAGTCTGTCGTGATGGAAAAAATTAACAAACTAATAAATACATACACATGAGTCAGATTAACAGCTAATTTTGGTTTGTTTTATAAATATAAACAGTAAATGCAATATATGAGCAATATAGTAAAATTGGTTCGTGGTGTAATTGGAGCAGAAACGCGTGAGATTCGTAGGTACGATTAATGGAGGAGCATTTGAACGCAGCACCGTCTGAATTATAGCCGTACACTACACACGTACCACATACTGTTAGATACCCGAGTAGTTAATCTCGTGGGGAAACCTGAAGAGCTTCGTAAGGAATTTCCGACTACACTTAAGTTATATATTAGGTATAGTGCAACATGTCACGCAACATAACGTCAAACAAGCCCAAAATGGTAACTTAGCTATGCATATATAAACGTAACGCCGACGGTTAGCACTGTTTGTACTCAGTCGCCTGACGTCACAACGTTCCAGTGTAACGTTAGTAACGGGACGTTAGCGCAACCGTTGCCATTTAACGGCAGCTCAGTTTGTAACGTTACATCCCGCTAACACTTGCTAGGCTGGGGTTTATTAAAAATGATATAAAACCTAAAAGTGTTAACCTCGGTTTACATTGTTGAACTGTCATTATTATGAAAACCTTTCCGTAGATAAACAGGTTGGTCACCTAGGAAACAGCTAACTAGTATTAGCAACAGTTCAGTCAGTCAAACGGTTAAATTGCGTCGGTGAATAGGGATGTACGTGTAGTGATAGAAATTGGCTTGTGCAGTGTGGTGGAGCAACGTGGTAGCGTGGCCGAGTGGTCTAAGGCGCTGGATTAAGGCTCCAGTCTCTCAGGAGGCGTGGGTTCAAATCCCAC